TCAGTGCCAACACTGATTCTGTCTTCGGTGATGATGCATCCAATTTCCGGTTGCCAGCGCTTTCTATCTGTGGAAGCTCCTAATAGATGGAAATGCATACGGGAGCGTAATGCGTGCTTCGTCTGGTTAGGAAACTCCCACATGGCCAAAGATTGCAAGTCAGATGTTCGATGCGGCCAGTCGGGTTGTAGGGCATGACATCATGGGTTGCTGCATGCATCAAAACCCGGAAACAAAGCTCCGACTTTGTTTTGTCTTCCCGCAGGTTCTGGCATTATGCGTCACTCGAAGATACCGTTCGCCCGTTACTTCAGGTGTAGCATCTTTAACGCCAGCGACCCCCCACAAGGGATGTTTTTCACTGATAAGCCTCACTGCTCAATGAGGCTGCATTTGAAAATATCATTCAGCTGTAGCAACCTTTCGGTGCCTAATTGCGTGCCACCAGAAGGGATCACGAGGACTGGGGTGCCACCAGGTTGCCGAAACCTGAATAGAGGAACTCGAGGGGCTCAGGGTGTTGCTGCGTAGACGGCACTCCTCCAGGTGTCAGTGAAGGCTTTTTCCAGGATTGTTGCACTTTTGTTATCTCAATTCTTCTGGGATGTTTCCAACAGCTGTACCATTAGTTTCACACACACCGTACAAATGGTAATAGCGGTTCCATCCATGCCTCCCGATAAGCTGCGAACGGCCACTGTCACTTATCAGTGTGTCACATCATGACTGATACCAATCGCCTGTTCTCGATTCAAATATTCTTATTAGATTTCTGTGTGAAGAGCGTTAAAATGGGACCGGCAGGCAAATATAGGTTGAACGCTCCTGATCTAGGAGGGTAATACTGTGTGCTCAGAATTCTCTCTCGCTTGTTTGTAATCAGTTATCACTTAGTGCTAGGGTGGAGCAGGAATCGACTTCTGTCAGTAAGTATCGCTGAAGGAGCGAAGTAATCACTGTAGAAACGTATGGAACGGGTGGACCTGCGTGCACCAAAAACAACAAAATCGGTCCTGATACTACGTAGAATAGGTCTAAGGGATAACCTAAACAAACGTAAAATGATCGAGGACGAGAATGAACGTACATATCATGTCAAACTGGCACATTGCAGCAAGATTCGGTTACGCTGCAGGGTAAATTGAATTAACAACCTGTCGCTGTATACCTGACTTCATTTCAGGTGAGACTTAGGTCACGAATATTATCTTCCAACTCTTGCCTTTCTCTCAAGTGTTATTTTGGTGTGTGCTATTTTCTATCATGCACACTTTCTGCCGAATGCATTTAGTGTGCTACAACCCAGTACAACAGCTTGCCCATCCTTTGCCGGACAACTATTGATTGTGCAATGAGAGGCTGACGAACCAAGGAAACATTTCTTGTATATTTTGTCTGTCTGGTTGTAAGAAACTAATAGTGCACACGCTCGCACATGGTCTGGGCCGGATGGGCACACCCTGGTGCAGAACCTTTCGTAATAACAACTGGAACAAACCAGGAAATGTTTTCATTCTATCGGCGTCCAGTATTTAGCTGTTGCGCATTATCTAACAGCGAACTTTGTAGTTCTGGACAAAGTGTTTGTTACCCCTCAGTGATTCCCAGCGTCCCAAGTCACATTCCGACAGCGAATCGTCAGTGTTGAACACTGGTGTTTCGCATGTGACACGTGGACATATATGTGTGCAATATAGACGGTTAAACACCGTTCCAAACTGTAAATGAATAATGATCGCCCAGCTGTGTGTAGGTGCCCTGCCATCCGAAAGAAGCACAAGGGTTGAGATACTTCCAGGTTGCCCAAGTGTAGACAGGAGCAGTCGAGATGCAGAGGTTGGATTCGAATCAAGGACCTTCTGGTCATGCTGGTTCGTGCTTCTAACACTGAGTCATCTGAATTTTGGACAGAACTGTATTTGAATTTTTTTAACTGGGGCAAGATGGACCAAGTGGTCAGAGCGCGAATTTACTGACCGGAAGGTCCGTGGTTCGAACCTGACTTCTGCCTCTCGACTTCCCCTGTCTAGGCTTGGGTGACCTGGCAATATCCTAGCCCTCGTGCATCCTTCATGCGACACGGCATTTTAGTACCGAAAGGGTGCTACAGCTGAACGATTATTATTATTATTATTATTAGTTAAATGTTATCGACCTTCGAATGATGTACCATTTCCCACAACGGCCAACAGTAGGGTAGAGGCCTCTTTGAAACTGCAGTGACCATTGTCACTCCAAGTTTGTATAGTCCATTTAGAAAGTTACGTGCTCCCCGTATCCTGTCTAGAACCTTTTGAAACGAAAAAACAACGCCGTAATGTTCACTTACTTCCTCTTCTTTCCTACATTCATTTTCGCCATTTCCCACAGACTGCTAATTATTGTGCCAGTCTGTCCAGCACGACCGGAAGCTCCTTCAGGCTGCCAGGAAAGACAAAAATTAGCATTTTCCCCTTGTGACTCCGCTTAACTCATTAATTTTTACCGTTTTTTGGTGAAATACGCTCATTTGCAAATCGAATTGGTAGACCGTTTCTACCTGATGAGCACCAAAAGGGTGAAACCCGGTCGTGGGCTGTCGAAGAGGTCTCGGCATTCAATAAACTATAGTACGATTTATCGGATATCCTACCAGCGGGAATATAGGTCGGTCTGTTGCAGTACATTCAGTTGAAAAAGAACACCATACGCAAGAGATTCAAGTGGATTCAATTTAGTCTATCGTAAATACCAACTTAATTTTCAAACGGCTGTATTTCGCCAGTTTTGTGCAATTCGGTGCTAAAGCAGAACATAAGGTTGTCGGAAATTCGGAGGTTGTGCCCACCTGATGACCCCCAAGAAGGGCGAAATCTGTTTTGGGCTGCCGAATAGTTTCCAGCAGCCTTGTGGGTAGTTTCCTTCATGAGAAAATGATTATACTTTCTGTCTGGAGAAATGGTTGTTCATCAGTCAGCCTTATCATGTTGCTTCCACAGTAGTTTAAAAGCCTTCATAATGTAGGGAAGTAGCGTGTATTATACTTTCTGTCTGGAGAAATGGTTGTCCATCAATCAGCCTTATCATGTTGCTTCCACCGTAGGTTAAAAGCCTTCATAATGTAGGGAAGTAGCGTGTAGTGTAGGCTTGGACCAGTAAGTAGGTGCATCTCCAGATCAAGTTCAAAAAAAACTTTGGGGACGAAACTTCTCTCGATGAACATGGAACCACCTGTAGCGTATTTCGATTCAGGGGATAATTCCTCACGGAATAAAGCCCAACAACACAGACCTGAGACACTGAACCAATTTCGAGTGCAGTTGGCGTTCAATTTTTGTCGATCGGCGTCATCCTAACGTGTTGGAAAACTAAGCTCACTCACGTACAGGTTCATGAGTCGGACTAGATAACACAGGACTTCAGGTAGAGGAAAAACTAGCGCCTTTGGAATTGTTCAGTTTAAAGAGTTTTTTGACTTCATGAGATAGTTCCTGGTGTTTCATATCCGGTTCAGCGGATCTTACCGGAAGTTCGAAAATGTTCTTAACTAGTATCTAGTATGTAAGGATTTTGATGTAATCGCGCTTCAGTCAGGTTAGCGCACCCGAGCAGGTACACACACACACTTGACTAAGTAATCGGGCTTTAACTGAAATCAAAACTGCTTGGAAAAAGCTTGTAAAATACTAACAATATACAAGGTTCTCAAGAGCATTCTCGTCTACCCATTTCGCTTTGACCAGACCTTTGAGAATGGAGATGTACGTGATTTGGGCAGAATTCAGTTATCAGTAAGTACCACGTATATTCTTTTTGGTTCGGTGTTCTGGATAGTTTACGGAATGAGAAAATTAAGCGCTGTACTGGCCGATAAATGTTGTCCAGCCTACAACCCACCAGAAGCACAAGTGCGTTTTGAATGGACCAACCCAGAGGGTTGTGGGAACCCCCCAGCAGGTTTTGCTGCAATTCCCTCAGATGGCTCGATTCCATGCTGTGGAAACCTCATTCGACAATGATTCTGGCGTCACTACAGCTGAAGCGCCTCCATTCTGAAACTGATAACGGAACAGCACCGTCGCTTATAGAAACAAACTCCTCTTTTTCGTCTCATTATGCAAGGCAGATTCGAGGGGAATACGGTTTTTCTTGGGTGTTTGGATCCGCAAGAAGCCTATAGAAATGAGGTCGTTTGTTAGCCCATTGCTTGTATATTACTGGAGGGTTTTCCAGTAAGGGATGGAGCTCGCGACAGTACAGTGAAAACGAAACTGGTGATCGAGTATTGTTTGACCTACTTGTCCAAAGAGTTCGTGCTGGTACGTTCGATACTTCCAGTACTGTAGACATATTTTCAAAAGGGTGGCTACTATAATTATAGTTTTACTCTCAATGTTTTCGCGGCTGCAAAGATGGTGCCATTACCAACACCCACCTGGTAGTGGGCCCAGTATCACTTACCGACACTTGGATTTTATGGCTTCATATTCTCTCGGTAATATCAGAAAACATACCTTAACTTTGGCCGTCGTTGTTTGCCATTAGGGGTTTCTGCGAAAATTGGAGCAATGGTGGACTTCTCACTGTTTCCTAACAATCTATCCATGGTAGAATTTTATGTAGTGCATATGTAGTATTAATGTTTCGCGTACTGGCCATCCTTTAACCAAATCATGACTACAAACATTTGCTCCTTCATCTCAGTCCCGTCACTCTAATCCATGGATTCGTTTGGATGCGAATCACGTGTGTCTGCTTTACCGCTTGCAAGTGCTTCGTGAGCAAGGACTCCCTGATGATCTCCATACACTCCTTGCCTGTCGGATCAATGAGCGCCTCTGTGAACTCTCTCCAGATGTAGCAGATCTGAGTAGTGAAGTGGGAGTTGATCGGAAAACCTTGGATATTATATCCTCCACTGTGTCCGCAAGCAAACACGCTGGAATCAACCTGTCTCATTTTTCAACAAGGTCTTATGGATCTGCCGACGCTTCGTCGTTTTCCATCACAACTGAGAAGGAAACTTCACCGCTTGTACCTGAGGACGCAGCTTCTGTTTCCGTGACCACACGTGAGAAACATTCGCGCAGGGTAAATACTTCCCTGCATCCGTATATCGAAACCAAAAATGAAGCGGCAGAGTCACACAAGTGCTTGGCATGCCAAACAGCTGGTCAGCCTATCACACTGTTGGATTATCCCGCAGTAAGTCAATCTAGCATGCTTGCATTTTTTCAGAATCACTAGTTATTGGTGGGGGGTTCGTGGAAACATACTGCTTCTAAGGAAAATCGTTGGTCTTTCTGTCAGACACAGGATAATGCGTGTTTGGATGGAACTCTAAAGATGACTAGACAGAAATTTCAAAGTGTCGTTGGAAATCTTAAGATGATTAGATGTCAGGCTCAGGTTCAGATCAGATGAAGGTTTAGTCAACTTCAGGGAGATTTTCAGCGACTGAATAACGTGAACACGCCTGCTGTATTCGTTTATTGTCTGCTCTAGATGGTGTGAAATTGTAGCAGGGGGTAGTAGGAGCCAACTAACCGATCATAGAATTACGGTAAGTGGACATCCTGGTTGATGTTTTGGACCACGTCAGTTGCTATATTTGATTGACTAAATTCAGGCCTACGTGGGGAGATGGCCCAAGTGGTTAGAGCGGAATTTGCTGGACCGGTTACCTGGTTCGAACCCGACCTCTGCCTCGCGCCTCTCTCTCGTTCGGCCT